TGAATTAATTGCTATTTATTGAGGGGCAAAAAGCAGGGGTAAAGCATCCTGAATGGCGACACCTCTGGGCCATGGAAAAGTTACAGCCAGCGAGGGAGCGAGCGAGCGAAAACTTTCATATTTCGGGTAGGCTAATGAAGGCTAAAGCTGTCACACAGCCACACAGTCTGTCGTCTGCCACCCACAGGCACTCTTTTTTGGCACTCCTCTTTGGCTGAGTGGCTAGTGGGAGTGCCCCGGATGACAGCGGCACAGCAAGTAAGTCCGCGTTTGAGTCGTTACCCCAAGCAGAGACTCTTCTTCTATGAAGATATTCTACATCGCTGTAGGGTGTCTGGCATTCGTCTGATCTCTCTCTCTCTCTGTCTGTCTTTGGCATTTTCGGGCCTTTTGCAATTGACCGCATAATAAATTTGTGCAGCATTTCCAGGAGAACAAAAAACGAAGGAACGAGCCCTAAAACTAGAACTGGAGCTGCAAGTGGAAGTGGAAGTGAAAGCCATTGCAGTTTAGTTCTTCCTCTCGTTGTCGTCAACTTTTAATTTGTTTTAAAAACTTTTTGATTGTTTCTCTGTTGCTGTTGCAAGTCCCCGCTGCTTTTGCTGCTGCCTCTGCTGCTGCTGCCTCTGCTGCTTCTGTTGTTGCTTGTTGCTTCTGCTGTGGTTGGTGGCATGCAAATGATTTGCTTAGCTGGAAGCCGGAGAGCAGGGTCCTGTGCTGCTGCTGCTGCTGCTGCTCTGGGCATTCATTTGCCAGTTGCTTGATTAAATTGTCTCCTCCCTTTGGCCTGGCATCTCCTGGCATCTCCTGGCGTATCCTGGCATCTACTGGCATCTACTGGCATCTCCTGGCGTCCCCTGGCTTCTTCTTATTTAAAGTTTTTAATTTCATTTTATTGATACTGGCCAGGCAAAGGAATAACAGCTTTAAGCATTGTTTTGTCATTTGCCAGGATGTCGCCGCCGTCACACTGCCACTGCCACACTGTCACTGCTGTTGCTGCCCCATCTGCCGCTGCTGCTGCTGTCGTCAGCTTTCTGACCCTCACAAAGGCAACAATTTGCGGCCGAGAGCCACAAGGCAACTGCCGATCAGGGCAGGGTGTAGCAGCAACAGCAGCAGCAGCAGCTGTCATTACAATTTCCGCACACATTTCAAAGACAAGGCAGTCAGTCGCCTTTGTCGATGGAGGATGTGGCTGCCGTATTACGGTACGTTACGTTGCGTTACCTGTGGCATCAACAGCAGAAGAGCAACATCTCAAGGCAGTTGTGACAGCTGAGCGCTGGCAACGCTCCTCCTACTCCGCCCACTCCCACTCTCCCTCTCACTGGCAGGGACACAACATTAACTTTTGGCTGATGAGTGAGTTGCATTTGAATGCAACCGGCGGCACGTGGCAACGTGCTCTCTGCACGGCTGAGGCAGCCACACAACGGCAACAGCATGTGAAAACGTGCCAGAAATGCGACTACCGTTACTGCCTACATAATTATAATTTGAGATGGGATTGGGGGTGGCGTGGAGCGCACGGATCCATAAAATTCTGAGAGCCCCTGACTACTCGCTACTCTTTGATGAAAATAGTCCGTACTCGTCAATGAGTAGATGAGTCGCCACTCGTTGAGGAAAGAACTCGTCAGTGACATGCACTTCCTCTTGGAGATCCGCTTCCGCTTGGCTCCCATCTCTAGACGTAAAAGCTGCTCGATCTCTGCTCGAATGTTCTGTTCCTCTTGCAGTTGCAGTTGGCAATAAGTTCATGTTACTGGTGCGCACAGACCCACGCACACACACGTTCAAATGCATGCCGCATGCCACTGATCAATGGTCAGACAGCACGCGCCTCTGCTGCCAGCTGCTGTGCTGTTGCCTCGAGTGAGTGAGTCAGCAACATGCTGGAACATGCAGCAGGCAGCATTCTAATTTATTTATGTTAATGCAATAAAAGCAGCACTCAATTTGCTGCACATTCAAATGCTTTTTCTAGTGGCACCCCCCCCTGACGTTCCACTTGCAACAGACTTCAGTGGTTGCAGCCAACCTTATCGCGGCGACACCAGCCGCGGCCAAAGGGGCAGCACTGGCGGCAGGGCAGCGACTAACCTTGTTACTGTTATTTAATTTCACTTTTGGTATACACTTGGCTCGCTTGCGGTGGCAACGGTATATCGATTGAGAGGCGCGGTTAATCACTTGATCGAAGCGCAACGAATCCTAATCCTAATCAACGAGTAGCGAGTATATTCTTCATTCATCATTCATGAACGAGATGACTAACGAGTCTTGTAATCAACGAGTAGCGAGTATATTCTTCATTCATCAACGAGTTGCTAGTATGCTCCGCAACGAGTACCGAGTCTTTTTTGGAGTAACGAGTAAGCTCTTCTTCCAGTCTAGTAATATATATTCAACAAACAGTGACTAGTGCAGCAAGCAACGAGCAGCGATTATTCCCTTGAAGTAGTAGAAAATAAGTATTATTCTTGATCGCACCAAAGGGTATCCCCAGCTTCGATGGAGCCCCCTGAAAGACTAGCCCACCTTTTTTTTTTGCTGCTGCTGTTTGTTTTCCCATTTGTTGCCATATTTCTGTTGCTTGTTGTCTGTGCCACACACACACACACACACACACACACATTGCTTTTTTTCTGTTGTTGCCGCATGATTTATGGCGTTTTGTGTCTGTGTCTCTAATTTTTTTTTGCACCAGTTGTTGCACTGTGGGGGCAATGTGGCAAGAACTGTAGTTGGAGCTGGTACCCAGAGTCCAGAGAGAGAGAGAACGAGCGAGGCGAGATCAAAGGGAATTCCTGTGGTACATAATTCTTAGACCTATGTAGGTTTTTGCTTTGTGTGTGCCACACTGTGCGGCAGGCGACTCCTGTGACTACTGCGACTGTTGACTGCTGTTCATAGACTGCTACTGCTGCTGCTGCGCCTCTTGGACCCTTGGACTTTGGGAGTTCATAAACGCCCCGCTCCAGTCCAGTCCCCCTCTGTGTGGCAACATCATTTGCATTTGTCATACATATATTTATATGAGCGGAGGTCGCTGCCACCGAATGCAGTTGGCAACATGATTTGCTGCCCCAGAAAGTGGCAGAGAGTATCTTTTATTATTTGCCAAAAAAAAACGGAATATAAACAGGCGGAGGAGAGGTCTATGGGGTCTTACTTCCATTTAATAATAAAGTCATACCCTCCACCCCTCCACGACCATTTGCATTTGTGGCTTGTGCGCCTCCTTGGCCATTGCTATTGCCATTGTCTCGTTATTTATTCACATTCACATTCATTTATTCGCATTTGGCCATGTCCATGTCCTTGTCCCTGTCCCTGTCCTTGTGCCATGGCCATGGGTGTGGCTTCCAGCGTATCCTTCAGCAGGAGAACATTTTAAATGCCATTTTAATTATATTTGGTTTTTGGTGCAGCAACATTTTGGGCTGTCTTATTTTTGTATGTTTGGGTGTCTTGTGTGTCCTGTGTGTCTTGTGTGTCCTGTGTGTTGTTTCGTCTCGAGTGCAAGTTTTTCAATTAAAATTAAATAAAACGACATAAATCATGGCCCTCTCTGGCTGTCTCTATTTGAGCCGAAAAGAGCAGAGCCGAGCAGAGCAGCGACCCCGCAAGCAACTTCATTTTATGGACCCAAAACATGGACCACGGCTTCGGCCACGGCTGCTGCTGCTGACTGACAGACTGACTGACATCCTGTTTTTGTGTGTGTTTGTTTTTTTTGGGTAGGAAGCAGCAAAGCGGCGAGTGTTGCACTTGTCCAACCCAATCATTAATCAAAGCGCAGCAGCCTCCCCTTAGTGGAGAGGCACAAGCAGCAGACAGTCAGAAGAAAATACTTTTCATGGAAGAAGCAACAGAAGCAACAGCTTTTCTACGTAGATTTAGATATTCCACGGACAAGTGTCAAGCAAAATGGGGCGAAAATCATAACAGATCTTATCTGCTCGGGTTAGATAAAAGCAGTAACAAAGAGCTGACTTGTATGATATTTATTCTGGGACACTTCACTCTACCCCCCACTGACTCTGGGCAGAAATTTCCATTATCGACCACTCTCCCAGTGGTCCCCCCCCCCCGGAGGTTGGAGCGTGTGACACTCGCAGATGGAACTTGACTACTGTACGCCCACAGCATTGTGCACTTTTATCAACGCCAATTGCAATTGTTTTTAATAATTCACTTTCACTTTTTGTCGCGAACCGTGGAAAAACCTTGAACCACATTTCCACGAGCACGCCCACACATGGCATGTATCTGTGTATCTGTAGCATGTGCACTGACACTCTGGTGACCCAGACCGAGACACAGACACAGAACAAAAGGAATATCAGATGTGTGCCTCTTTGCGCTGTTTAAAATTCAGCAATTGGCAGGAACAACTTTTAAAGATTGCAACACATGCTCGTATAGTCCCGTCCTGCAGCAGCACTTCTCGGTCGTGGGTCGTGCGGCAACTCACTTCGGTCGCGGGTCATGCGGCAGCTCTCCTCGGTCTGCGCTGCCGCCGCTAAATGAACTTTCTACTGTAAGTGTATCGCTGAACAAGCGTTCAGGTATTCCCCATGCTCGTTTGCATATGCGATTGTCTCTGCCTCCCCCCTCCCCTAAAATGTATCTGCGTAACTGTGTCTGCTCTTTCAATTTGTATCTTTTGCTGTGGGGCAGCACTCGAGACACGAACAGCAGTTGTTGCCGTCGCCGTTGCCATTGCCGTTGCCGTTGCCATCGCCGCAAGAGGCAAATAAAATTAATGAGCTTAGAGGTAAACCAAAAACCCCAGGCCAAAAGCCGAGACAATGTTTTCGCAACTTCTCCCAAGACTCTCCTCTGCCGCCTGCCGTCTGCCTCCTCGCTTTAAGTCCTTTTAAATAAAGTCTACATTGGGATATCCACCGCCCCCCCCCATCAGACAGCCATCCCATCACACAGCCTCCAGTCTCAAGAACCGCTTTTCCCTTTGTTTTATTTTGTTGCAGCCACAGCAGCCGCCACGTCAAAAGCAGCTTCCAAAGAACCAGCAGCAACAGCAGAGCAGCCACCCGAGCAGTCCTCAGCAGTCGTTGTCGCTGTCGTCCCTTCTGGTCACCGTGTGGCACCATTTGCCAACGAGAAGGAGCGCATTCGTCAGGTAAGCTTATGGTACAAGCTTACAAGCTTGGTCCCAAAACCAATCCAATCTTCGGGACACAAAAAAACGAATACAGGGGCAGGGCTCACGATGCGACGATGTTGCTGACAGGAGCCTTAAATTTCAAAAAAACAAAATACGCCTTGGACTCACTCGCCAGGCGACAAAATAGTCCAAAAAATAAATTTTTGTTTCCATGCTTGGCTGGTTCTATATTTAATGTAATTCTTGGAACAGTAGGAAGATCTCTTATCTGCCCCTTATCCGCCCATCACAGATCTCAGAGATATCACACCAGAGAGACTGCGAGAGACTGGGAGAGAGTGCCCCCAGTTGTTATCATCTTGAGTGGATGGAAAAACAGACCCAAGGTCAGCCAACTGATGTGTCTTCCGTTGCTGTGTATCTGTAGCTTATGTTATCTAGGGGAATTATCTCACAACTTATGGCAGAACAAGCAGAGATTGCTTGGAATGTGTGTGCTCCGTAGTACTTACATGTGGGCCTTTCCAAAAAGGTTTGCAAGTCTCTTTTGCCTTGAGTAACCTTAATTTTCCTCACTCTTTCTGCTGCAGTTCTTTCTTTAGAGGAAACAATGGTGTTCCATTCCGTGGGTTCCCACATTTCGGGGCATACTCTCTGTCCCTCTCTCTGTCTATGTAAAAATAACATCCATTGATGGTAGTGGCAGATCTTTTAAAGATTGAAGATCTGAGTAGAAGATCCTGCAGATTGAATATCATGTGCAGGCGTGTCCTTTGGTATAAGAATGCCCGCTGTTCCATTCCATTGGTGCTCTCTAGTTGTGCCAATATTTCGAATGTTCCCTTTTGGTGGGTGGATTTTGGTTTTTCCATCCATAAAAGCAAAAACAAAATACGAAAAAAGAAAGCAAAACTCTTCTATATAATATTTAAGCCTATTTATTATATTTTAACTTGTTCAATGTTCCGTTCAGTGTGCACTGCCCCTCGGTAGCTCCATAGCTGACCCGTTCCCCTCCCCGCCATTCCACTTTTGCTGTCCGTTTCTTTCCGGTCTCCTGCTCTCAAGTGGCAGGCCATGAAATGGCCAACGGGCACACATCATCCTCCTCCACTCTCCTCCACACACACCGAATGCCGCTGCCAAAACAACAAGCAGCCATCCCACACACATACACACACACACACACAATGAACAATGAGCAATCCTGCAACAATCCGAACATCAACAGCAACAGCACATCAAGGCGGTGGCAAGGGGCATCCACAAGGGGCATACAACATGCTGCTGCTGCTGTTGCTGCTGCTCGCATTAAACGTTTCGTTTTCATACCGCTGATGGCAGGCAGCCTTTCGAATGGGCGGCTGGCGGCTGTCCAGTCCTATGTGCTGTATGTTGTGCAGGTCCTGCCCCTGCCTGCCTGTTGTGTGCCTTTTTTTTTTTGGGTCAGAGTTTCGTTCTCTTTGATTTCTTTATCTTTTATCTGTTGGCGTTGGCCTTTTTTATGGGTTGGGGCTGCCACACGTGGCCCGGGGGCCCATTCGCATTATCGGCTGCACATTATCTCTCCTCTCTCTCGGGGTCTCTCTCTCTCTCTCTGTGCATTGTTCTCCGCCCCGAGGAGACACACACACTTACACACGACACTCGACTCCATGCATCATCTAATTTATGGCCTAGACAGCGGCCAGGCAGGCGGCATGGGGCGGAGCATGGGGCAAGCTGCTTTCATTTCATTAATTATGCAGCGAAAAATCAACAGGGGCAGGTGCCAGTGGCAGTGTGGCAGTGCCGCTGGAGATGTGAGCGTGACACGTGCAAGTGCGTGCAACAAATGGGAGAATTTTGCGGATAATTCCCTTGAAGTACATATATGGGAATACAAATGGAGTTATTTTATTTTATTCGAATACTCCGCTCGGCATAGCGACATATTTCCGGGCGACATATCTCCTGGCAGGCCCTAGCGACATATGCTGAAAAATGTATGGCAGGAGATATGTCACCCGGAGATATTTCGTTACTCCACTCCGCTCATGTGGGCTGCCAAAAATCAATTCAAATTCTGGGCTCGGGGCCATCGAAATGCAGGTTAGGACGCATGGAAACTGCACCAAGAGCTCTGGCATGAGTATAGCTGGGATTCCAAATATATGTACGAGTACTGTGGATCGCAGAAGAGCTCTACTGAGAATATATTCAGCAATCGAATGGGCATCAATGGTTCCATCAGGTGCTTTCGATTGAATTACCTTTCTAGCTAATAAAAGTTGAATCTTCACTTTAAAACCCAATCGATGGGCATTCAATTATGCTCCTATTTTATACGATATTTGTATATATTCATTATGCACTTTTTAGCATCTTTTTTCGCTCAATCCTTTGCGTGCTCTCACGCGCTCATCTCTGATTTGGTTGCTCGCCAAAAACTCCTTTCAGTTTCCCTGCCTGCCTGCCACCCTACCTGCCTCACTGCCACCCACTCTGCCGCTCGCTTGCTTGCATTTTTTTTTGTGTGTTTGTTTTGTTTTGTGCGGCTTGAATTTGTTGTTTCTTGTTTCTGTGGCTGTGTTTCTGCCACAAAATCTGTTTATGCGCCTCCAGCAAACAGCTCCAGCTCCAGTCGCTGGCTCTCCTCCTGCTGCTGCTGCCTCCAATGGCATGGCAGTCCATGGACTGCATTTGACTTTTATATGCGAACTAATTCATGAAAAATGCATCATGCCTGCTGCTCGCTCGCTCGACTGCTTCTTGCTGCTGGGGGCTGGGGGCTGGCTCTTGGCTTGGGGAGCTGCAAGCTGGGGACTGGGGGCTGGCTGGCAGTTTGAAGCCTAAATGAAGAAAAACCGGCCACCATAAATCGTTGTCGTTTTGTTGTCGTCATCGGAGTTGGAGTTGGGTCGAGTCGGAGTCGCTGCCACTGCTGCCACTGCTGCTCTGCTGCTGTTGCTGCTGCGAATGTGAATGCAATTTGTGAATGGCAAAACGGCGAATGGTGGTAGCCCAGCTGCGAGACGACTCCATCCCAACTCGCATCTCCGGAGTGCCGTGTGCTCTCTCACGCTCTCGCTCTCTCTCTGTGCAACACATCACTCTGGGGTTCTTGCCCCTCTTTTTGTTCGTGTGGCAAATAATTAAATTAAGATTTTTATGGCTTAATTGGATGTTTGTCGTCAAGTGACGAACGACTTCCATGGCCCGTTACATTTTGCATGGTTTTGTGGCTGCCACAAAATGCGAAACACTCGTACCACATGCAGCAAACGGCAGGCAGTTGGCAGCAGCAAGCAGCCAGCAGGCAGCCAGCAAGTGAAAGGCAAAACTGCATCCAGCCAGCACTCCAGTGCGATGGGTGGGTGGGTGGTCTCTGCGCTCTGCGCGCTGCTTTGATCTCCAAAAAGCCAACTGAGTGGACACTGGACATTGGAATCGAGTGGCAGACAGACAGACAGAGAGAGGAGAGGTCTGAGAGGCCACAAGTGGCCGCAAGCAAAAGCAACAAAAAAAAAAAAACAAGGGTTCTAAGAAATGTCAAATGCTGCGGCTGCACTCGATTTTTGCTCTCGTTTCGATTGTTCGATGGCAACTCTGGCATTCTGGCATTCTGGCATTCAACTCTGGCATTCGGCACTCGCAAGATGGCCCCATTGCAGGCGCTGCTTCTGAAAGGTTTCCATTGAATGACCAACAGAAAAAACCACTGCCACTACGGCACATGACACGCATTTTGTTTGTGCATTCTCCACTCATTCTTTTCTGTAGCAAAGATATATATTTGGTTCCTAAGTATCTGCACCTACTGCATTGGTTAGCAGGGCCTTTGCGCTCATCCCAGCCTCAGTTCCGAGTGCCCCCGTTTCTGTTTCTGTTTGCTGTTTGTTGTCTTTTGGGGTTACCTGAAATCTGCACAGAATCTAAGCTCACGACACGACACGACAACGACGACGACGACGACGGCTGCTGCAATCCTTGAACTTTTCTGTTCTGTTTCGCTTTTCAAATATGCATAGCGGCATGAAAAAGTCGCGTCGTGGGTCAGGCAGAAATGCTGTGGCATGGGGCATGGCGGGCAGCAGTTTGTTTGTAAACGAAGGCGTTGCAATGGGTGGCATGGGGATGCTGCTGCTGCCTTTTGGAGATGGGTTGGGTTGGGCTGGTTGCTTTTGCATTCGGCTTTCATTAACATGCAGTTGACTTTGGGTCCGGGCCATCGCCATCGTTGCCATCAAAAGCATAAATTCCATATGCAAATTGCGCGGTAAGGAAGGAAAGGAAAGGCGGCAGGTCGCAGGCTGCAGGCGGCAGGTCGGTGGTTTACTGCTGGTGTGGCTATGCCACACACACTTTTTTTTGTGCTGCCGCCCCGTTGCACAGTGCCTGTCACGCGGCGCCACAAAGGCATCCAAGAATGAAAGAAAATGGCAAAAGCCAAGCCGAACACAGCCTTCGCCGCACTGCCACACAAAAACTTTTCCAAGATGAAAACCCAAAAATGAACCGAAACTGGACGCTAGCGTAGGATCTGTGCTCAGCTCAGCTCTGCTCTGCCGGACCTTCCAAAAGAAGTGAATTTCACGCACAGATGTGGCACGCAGAATTCTGGGGCGCCCATCTAGAATGGTGCACCATTTGGGTGTGAGTGGCAGGCCCAGGCCCAGGCCCCAAAAAAACATTGCATTTTCTGTTGCATTCTGTGCTGAGCTCACAGCTCTCAGCACTCAGCTCTCCCTCTGCTGTTGCTGTCATTTGCTGCTGCCTTTTGTTGGCACTTCTCGCAGCGACTCTCGCACTGCCCATGCAAGCCAATTACGCCCATGCCCATGCACATGCCCATGCCGTTTGCCCAGCTAAATATTCATTTTATTTATGCAATTAAAAGGCATTAAGACACTGCCTTATAATGCGTTTCATCTTGTTCTTACGTTATACTAATTAATGCGTAAGTACTGCCGCAAAGGTGCTTTGCAGGGCAGCAATGGCCACGCCACGCTGCCAGTGCTGCCAGTCTACTACCA